TTTTTTTTTTTTTTTTTCTTTTATGGAAACTTCACTACAAACATTATGAAAAGAAGATGTTAAACTTATAAAGCAAAACTACAAAAGAAACAATCCATTGAAAAGATGGGGAAGTGAATCAAATATCACACAAAAAAGTATAGAAAAGGGGGGAAAATTCCAAGGAATCCACCTTTTTCCACCATTATTCAAACTTAATTGGATTGCTCAAATTCCATTCTTTTTTTTTTTCTCTCACTTTAGTTCAATTCAAAACATAAAAAGATATTAAAATAAAAATTGTTGAGTGGCTTTTTAAAAGAATCCATTGTAAAAATATTTTTCTTTAAAAGTTGTGAACTTGGAAAGCATAGTTTTAGTGAGTCACGTGTTGAATAGAGGGTGTATTTTCTCTAAGGGCTCGAAAGAAGGAGTTGAACCTCGATTAAACAAAGGTTGTTAAAGGACTCCAAAGAAGTAGATAGGCCTTAGGAGAGGCTATATGGTGTACTTTGTCTCATGTGAAGATTGTTGAAGATTGTTTGAGTTCCACGTTGGCTAATGAACAGGAAGCTCATGGGTACATAAGTAAGGGACACAATCTCCATTAGTATGAGACATTTTGGGGAAACTAAAGTAAACAGAAACTAGATTCAAAATCTGAGAGATGAAGAGGATATTTTTTTTATTTGCCAAACATTCAAGACTCAATAAATAACCACTTCTAGATAGGAATCTATTTTTCTTTCCTATTTCTTCTCAGTCATAGAGCTAAAACTTCCTATGCTATGTATTTTTCTTTCTTATTTCTTCTCAGTCATAGAGCTAAAACTTCCTATGCTATGGACTTGTTGCTTTTCATTTGAGTTCGATCCTCGTGTTTTTTCTGCTACGAACTAGAATTCAAAATTCGAAGGAAGGAAAGCGTAAATCAGTAATAATTTTCAAAAAATAATACAAATGAAACTCAAAATTCAAATAGTTAAACATGATGGTTTGAAAATAGAAATTAGACTCCAAATCAAGACTAAGAAAAGACGCAAGTTAGAAGCCAACAAGACTAAGAAAAGGCATTACCAAATGAAAAATAATATTCTTCCCAAAAAGCAAGAAAAAGAAACTCTCCTTCAAAAGATTCACAAAAACAATGGAAAAGTAATAAATAAAGGCACCATCTTTTCGATACCTTAGGAGTCTTTGTTTTGAAGCTCTATCTCTTTTTCCGTATAAGGTTGATTTTGAAGAAGAAATCAATTGCAACAAACTTTGGTACTAATGAAATTCTTGGCTTGCAATCAAAGTAGTGTCCCCACGCCCAAAACACTAAAATCTAAGCCTTGTCAAACAATTTATTAATGGTGCTTAAGCGCAAATAGGTATCAAAAACCAAAGAAAGGGAGCTGGATCAAAGTTCAAAATTTCTTGTTTTTCCCTCTCAAGCAATCTTTATCTTTAGTTTTTCCTTCCCAAGATGGAAAAAAATGGCAAAAGTGACTTATACAGTCGCTTTCAAAGTTCAAGAGAGTAAAGGTTTCTCAACACCAAACTCATCACTTTCATAGCCACTCCCATCACAGTAACCTCCTTTTCCTTTTTCCCCAACCCACAAAGTAGAGCCCACACAATATCAAGAAAAAACCAGTAAGTTTGGAGGTTAGAATTTGGAGTGTCTATAAATTGAGTTGGGTTGGGACATCTTTTTAGACCCAAACAAAATTCAACTATTCATGTGGTAAAATTTCAACCCAAACAATCTTATTAAACCATGAGCCCAACTCGAACATAAATTTTTTGGGTTGGATTTATCCAAGTTGTTCGGGTTATAAACTTTTCATTTATTAAGAAAACTTATGAACCAACCCAATTTAAAAAAATTTCATTTATTTGAACTCAACCCAATCCCTTCTAACCAGAATTAAACGGAGTCGGCAGCTTACATTTTGATTATTGTTTTCAAATGTCGTTTAAAAAATAATCCCCATAGATTGGTTTTGTTGTTAAAGTAAAATTAAAAGAACACTCAACCAAAGGAAAACAGAGCAGCAGATCAACAGAGTAACAGAGTGAGAGAATGATTAGAAGAAGAGTTGCTGTCTAACGTACCTTCAAATGGAAATAATAGTGTTCCCTAAGGTGGAGACAGAGAGAATGACGGAGAAAACGGTTCCATTCCAATGGCCTGAAAATTGACACCAAAACTGGCCCTCTTTTCTTCGTGCCCATCCGTTCAACCTCAAGCTTATGCCAATCACTATTCCTCTATATGAATTTTAGTGCACAAAAGATTCTGAAACAGTCTACAAAGTTATCCTAATGACAAGATCTTTTTAACTGAGTTGATCAATTCTGTTCGAATTGTTTCATCTTAAAAAATGGTATAAGAACAAATATTCAAAAAAATAATTATGTAATTAAATGAAATTATAAAATAAGCCTAAAGACTCGAAAATGAGAAAGGAAACAAAAACTAGATAATTCTGCGTACCTGCGAAAGGAGATCAGAACAAGCTGAAGCAGCAACATGAAACTCAATTTCTTGAGCCAAATGCTCCTGGGTATGCACATCGTTCATCAAATTCATCTGCGAGAAAAAGATATAGAGTCGGAGAAGAGGACAGAGAAAGAGAAAAGTTGCAGAGGCAATAACAATGACGACGGTAAACGGATTGAGCCCTAACGACATCAAATAACGCAGCAACACCGAGTTTCCGGCGTATATGAACTGCACCGCCATCAATCCTCCAATTACCTCCGCATCTTCCATTGCTCCTATCGTTATTATTTCCATATTTTCCCCGATTCATTTTCTTTCCTTTTCCCTCCCAAACTCTACGTTTTCCTTTCATTTTCCCTTATTTTTTCCGAGGACATTTGTGCTAATTGCAATAGCATTCTATCCTTACCGTACGATTTGGTGCCACCGCCGCCGCCAGGAGCTCGATGAGCTCTATTTCTAGTAAACGATGGAACTCCGATAAGAATTGACGCGGTTCGATTTTGGAGTCTTTGTTAATTTCCTCCCCTCTGTTTCAGCTCCTCGCCGCCGCGCTTAAATGAAATAAGATTCCCGACGTCCGTCGTCCTCCGGAAGAAAAAGGTAAAAGAAAAAGGACAGAGAATATTTCCGCACGATGAATTTAATAAAATTAAGAAAAGTTATTAGCCTCTGTTCTTCCCTCTCTCTGTCCCTCGCTTGAAAGGGAATTTAAACCCTAAAATCTTGCTCCATCTCTAAATAACTTGGATTCTCAGGTGCTATATTTTTTCTAATCCTTTTCTCTCATTTGATAGTTATACCTTCTATCGTTGCTATAATCCTGTTCTACATAATCTACCTAAGTATTCGCACGTTTTGATCATACAAAATTAGAAAGTCAAGCACCTTCTCCTTCAATCTCCTTCATGTAGCGATATAAATTCTAACTTTCAAATCAATATTTGAATCAATTTTCAATCGCTGAAAAATAGTTGGAGAAAATGAAACACTACGCGAGAGCTTCAAAACTCCACAACCTTAATCTACTTTCTTCGAATATGCAAGGAAGAAACCAAAATCAAACCAGAAAGTGAAACTAAATCTAAAACGCATAAACATACATACAAACAAAGTAAATACACTACGAGAGAAAGAGAGTGGGAAAGAGAGACCTGGTATTGAAGAATCGTGAGAAAGAATCAAAGTGAGCTCGGAAATTTTGGAAGATTAGGTAACTAAAGAAACGCTTACAGTCTCGTTTTTGATGGCGGATCTGACCGAATCGAGCAATGTAATGAAGAAGAGATGCTGCTGTTGCAAGTTGAAGCAGTCATCGGAGAATGAAGTGAAGACGACGACGATTCAGAAGCGGAACCAAGGGCGATGGTGAAGGATCCTTAACAGGGCGGGATTAGCTTAAAGCCAGAAATCAAACAAAACAAAAAAGCTTTAAAATATAAATTTAGTCTTAATAATATTTCTAATAAATCTTTAAATTTAAGTTAAATTACAAAATAAATAAATCTAAATTTATTAGAATTTTGAATGAAGTTTGGACGAACAAAAATTAAGGTAATGACATGGAACAATGTAACGGTCTCAATTTTCATTATAAGTCACGGTTATATTATTACCACTCTAAATCTTTTTGTTTAATATTCTAATATAAAATTTCACGAGTATATATAATTCAGGATAAAAAAAGTATATGGTAAAGTAATATTTTAAAAAATAATATCTATAAATCAAATATGATATTATACGGTAAATATTATCGAAATTTCATATAAATAAACAATTTTACGATATTATTTAATTTAAAATAATTAACCCAGGTTAATTATTTTATATTATTATAATAATTTTATTTTAATTTAATTTTTTTGATATTGTACTGTAAATATTATCGAAATTTCATATAAATAAACAATTTTACTGCATTATTTAATATTAGATAATTAATTGTTGGTTAGCTATTTTATATTATTATTATAATTTTAAATAATTAAGTTTTAATTTAATTTTCATTCACCTGTCTAAATTTGTAAGTTTTTTTTAATTTATTTGGTAATAAATCTTAATAATTCTCTTAAAATAAATGATTTTAATAAAATTATATAAACTTAATGTTTCAAAGATCAAATATTGTATACGCTGGTGGAGTGAATTATATTAAATAATATATTTATAAATCTTATATCATTATAATAATTTATTAATAAAATAATAATATATCTTGAATTTTAATTTTAAATTTCATTTATTAATAATATACATTAAATTTAGGGTTTTGAGTTTGTTTATTTATTAATATTAATAATTTTTTTAAAAGATTTTAATAAAATTATACAAAAATTTAATTTGTTCGAGAAAAACACGTAATTAACATAAATAAATAAATAAAAGAACTGATCAATGCGATAATGGGCCGGCCCAAGTTGGCTTCTTGTGGGCTCCTTTGAACTTGTGATTGATTAGACTCATGTCGTTTTGATGAACTCATTGTCGTCATTATTTCAAATGTTATCACATCCCCACAAAAGTGATTGACGTTCGCTAAACAATATCTTCTCTCTCTCTCTTTGTGGATGAAAAATAAATAATTTATAAATTTTTGTAAATAATATTACAAAGAGAGGTAACATATAAAATTTAGGAAAATAATTTCATGACTAACATAAAATACTTTATAAATAGAAGCAAAAAATAAATATAGTAAATAACATTAATTTTTATTTTATACTTTTTTGTTTCCTAGAATTACTTTATACTTTATTTAATTTGAAAACTAAATTTTCCAAGTAAATTATTCCATGGATACTTTTCTAAATAATTTGACTATTTAATTTCAAAAATTTGACTATGGTTGTATTTTCCACGTGTATTATTAGAATTATTTATTTATTCTGTGTTTGACTAATTATTTATGTCTTTTCAAAAAGTATATTCTTTTTAGTAATTGGTAAAGGTAGAAGACCCGTTTGGGTTTCTTGCATTTAGAAAGAACGATGGCTACGCCATCTTAAATGACTATTAATTGAACAATAAAAAGTTATTGAAAAATATATTTCAAGATTGGCTAAATATTTTTGGTAATATAATTTTTTTTAATTATATTCAATTTAACAGTTTTGACTTTAATATATAAATTTCAAGAAACTATTCAATGGTATATTTATTCCCTAAATTTTAGCTTTTAAAAATTATATATATATATATATTTTAGGTACTAAATTTCATTTTATATTATTTATATTTTTTTTTTCTAGCAACATTGAAATTCTACATAAGTTTTTAAAAATAAATATTTTTATTTCTGGTTGAATTTTTTAAAATATTGGTAAATTAAAAAAAAAATTATTTATTTATTCGTTCTTTTGAAAATTAAGCGTATAAACAATATTTTCGAACAACCTCCTTTGTAATATTATCTACTTTCTATTTAAATCAAGTCAAAATTTGAAACTAAAAAGAAATTAGTTTTTAAAAAACTTATTTTTATTGGTAGAATTTGACTACAATTTTTTTTTAAAATATGAAAAATAATAAATAATTTTTTTAAAAAAAACTAAAAACGGAATAAGTATCTAACAAGACATAAATTAAAAAAATTATAAAAGCATTCATAGACTATGAACTCTAATTCGTTATAGCATATATTGTTAACATAATTAATGTAAGGATCACACGAATATAATTTAGTGATCAATTAAGGCATTTATATTTTTCTTTGAAATCAAAAGATTAAATAATATTTTTTTAAAAAAAAGAGACATTAGGAATGAAGCTTTGAATATTCTAAAACATCGGGAATTAAAGACTGAATTGAATTAAAATCATATAATTTGAAGAAGTGGGTTACTTTTTCATAAAGTAATACCCAAATGTTTGATTTTGGTCGTTAAGGTTAAGCATATTCTTTTTAAAATCTAAATTAAAATTACATTATAGGAAAGGAAAAGGTAGTCTCCACTCTACAACTTTCCCTTTTTTAACTTGTTCTTACCAAATTTCTTTTTAATAATTCCTTAAATTTTTAATTATTTAAAAAAATGACAAGTTTACTCTAATTTTAAGGTTCTCTTATAAAAGAATAAAAAAGATTGTTATTTATTTATTTATTCTCATTATTATTATTATTATTATTATTATTATTATTATTATTATTTAGTTTAGTTCCATTCTTTGAAAAGTAAATATTTTGAATACCCTTGAGTGGGGCATTCCAAATTGGATAATTTTTATTTATTTATTTTTCCTCTCATTTTCAAGACTTTTTCTTTAATTGGCCCAATTTATTTATTTTCTTATTCAAACCAACGTAACATAGGGGAGTATTTGACCTTTCATTTTTTCATTTCTTTGTTATATATTTAATACATTAAAAAAATTAATAATAAAGATAAGGTTAGGCAGCAATAATAATATTCTTATATAATTATACATTCATTTTCTACTAAATATTTTACATGTCATTAAATAACATATTATTTTATTTCATCAATTTTACAATATTCTTAAGAAATATAAACTGAAATAAATCAACTATTTTATTCGAACATTTATATCACGTCACTAAAGGATAGAGGAAGATACATAAAAACGTCTATTTAATTCGTGAAGAAGGTGAAAATTTTCTAAAAAACGATGGAGAGAATAGGGAGTTCTTCCGGAAGACGGAAATTATATTCTTTTACGTCAGTAGAATATTCTTTTAGTTATAATACTCCCATTTAAATTATTTGGAAATATTTTTTAATAGATTTAACAAAAAAAAAAAAAAAAAAAAAAAA